CTTGTAGGAAGCCCTGTTTGGAACAAAACAACAAACTCACCGGGACTAGGCACTGCTGGAGCTGCATGAGGAGCTGCGCTATTTCAGGGCACATTTGGGGTGGAGTCGGGAGGGATGCACATGAGACCAGAGTTGGGCAACGGCACGTGGAGAGGGCTGTGGCACCACGTTCTGTGGGAAATAATTGGAGAAGTGCTGGTATTGGGCACGTTCGGGGGCCTGGTGGTGTGTCAGGATGGGGGAGGGAGGGGGCAGGACTGGGGTCTCTGTGCCAGGACTCTCTCTGGGCATGGCTGAGGTGGTGCCAGAGCATCACATGAATTGTGCACAGGACACAGCCCAGCAGAGGTGGCAGACCCTACGTGTGGTCTCAGGACTGCCTGGGGTCTCAGGATCAGCCATTTCTCTCATGCTTGTGACTCTGGATGAGTCACTGATGTTCTCTGTCCCTATAAGTGGTCATGTGTATAAGAAATATATTAGGCATATGTCTAAATCGATGGCTTGTTTTAGAATGAAATGTTAAAATTAATTTAAAAATTATAGCTGAATGACTGGTGTATTAACATTTCACCCTGTGGAGCGAATTACTTTACCACCTCCTGATGCCCAGTTCTTATACTTTCTTAAACTCAGAATGACCTTGGTCATTTTGTCTTTCAGGATTGATATGTACGCAGAAGGTGTGTTCGATTTGGGTGAAATGATCATGCATTTGCCACTGTGTCCACCTGCGGAGAAAGATGCCAAGTTGGCCCAGATCCGAGAGAAAACAACAAATCGCTATCTCCCTGCATTCGAAAAAGTAAGCGCAAAAAGTTCAGAGTTTTTGGCATTGAGATCAGAGGACAAGAAAAATAGAGCCTGGCATTCCTGGGGTGTCGACCTTCAATTCTGTGAACGTTCATGTGGAACCCTGACTCTCAGGGCACTTTATAAAAATACACTGTCAGGAAGAATTTTATCAGTTTTACGCATTACAATTTTTCAGCAAAATTTCAATTTGCTGAGACCCAACCTGGAATTTGATACGGATGGAATGTCGTGGGTGTACTTAGAGCTTGGGCTGCGGGCGCTGTGAGAGCCACATAGACCTGCAGTGGGGGGTCCCGCAGGACACGGTGCAGGGCTTCTGGTCCAAGAGGAGCGATGAAAGCAACACATCAGAAAGTATTCGGGTACCAGGTGCAGGGAGACACGAGACCAGATGCCCGTCAGGAGAGTGTGCAGTGCTTCTGGGGTGGATGAGACGTACCTAGAAAGATACACCCCACTCCCCAGTGCGGAGCAGACGGGGAAGCGGGGCTGGGGAGACGGGAGGCGGGGGGGCCAGCCTGACTGCCCCTGTGCCCTGATCTGACCCCTCAATTCCCAGGTGTTGAAGAGCCACGGACAGGACTACCTTGTGGGCAACCGGCTGAGCAGGGCTGACGTGCACCTGGTTGAGCTGCTCTACTACGTGGAAGAGGTGGACCCCAGCCTTCTGGCCAGCTTCCCGCTGCTGAAGGTGGTTCCCCCCTTGGCCCTTGGCGGGCAGGCCCACCTCCCCCTCCTCGCAGCTGCTCTCTGGGCTCTGGGGCGGTGATGTTATGGTCCCCGTCACTGTCCAGGCCTCGCTGCCCCCAGGTCTCCAGAAGTAGGTCCCCAGCCCTGGTCTGGGGCGTGGGAAGATCAAGTCACACCAGGGACACTGGAGGGGGACACCGCCCCAAGGAGACTGACTGGCCTTTTACAAGGAGAGATCAGGCCTGGGTCTGTTCCATCGCAGTCTCTGTTGTCATTTCTCTCTGCTTCCCTGTGTCCCAGGGGTGTCCTCCTCCCCCTCACCTGAGTCTGTCTGAGCGGGTCCCCCACCATCTCATCCCCGACCCCGCAGCCCCTGTTCTGTCCCTCACAGTGCTTTCCCTCTCCCCGTCTCCCTCCCTCTCTCTGAGCACAGACTGCTTGACTGTCTCTGGTTTACCTGCTATAGTTTCTGTTTTCAGCCCCAGACCTACCTTCCCAGATCTTCCTTTTCCTGCCTTGAGATCTTGAAGCCTTCCCCTGGGTTGATTTCTGACAAACACTAAGTTCCTCGTCTTGCACGAGAGGGTTCACCTGCAGGACTTCCGTGTAGGAGGAAGTCGGGGAGACTGGAGCTGAGTGATGCCTGTCCCCAGGAGGCATCTCTGGGGAGATGCTACTGCGCTGTTATCCTCGTGTGTCACTGGGTGTCTGTCCAGGCTCGTCCTGGTGCCGGCGGAGGGGCCCGGGCTGGTCCTGGGCTGGTCCTGGGCTGGGAGGGTCTCGGGGTCCCTGGCTTGTGCTGGTGATGGTGCTGGTCTTGGCTCCGTGCTGAGCTGTGCTCTTGTGCATTGCAGGCCCTGAAAAGCAGAGTCAGCAGCCTCCCTACCGTGAAGAAGTTTCTGCAGCCTGGCAGCCAGAGGAAGCCTCTGGCCGATGAGAAAACGATAGAAGAAGCCAGGAGGGTTTTCAAGTTTTAATAAAGCAGCTGAGCCAGCCAGGACCCGTCTCCTGAAATTTCCTTATGGTGACGTGTTTACCTAAATGTACATCTGGGTGTTGTGAGACTAATAAACTATTCCAAAGTTTTAGTGGTAATTAAATAACTCCTATGGGCGGATTTACTTGTAATCTTTTTCATTGAGATCAAACATAAAATCAGATTTTCCATCTCCTTCTAGCATGTCTGTTTTCCGGAATAAAAAATAAATCAGCAAGGGGAGCACAGACGATGCAGGTCCCTTGATCTTTTCCAGCAAGTGTCACGTAACCTGTGTCACACAGCCTGTCCAGGAGTCACGTGCAGAAGTTCAAATCTGACATCCTAGGTTTTCAGAGGAAAGGGCTACCTTTCTGGGTAATGGCAGGAAGACACTTTATTTCTTTTAAAGCCCTTTTTTTTCCTTCTGAGTATAAAAATATTTTTATACAGTTTTAGGAATTTGTCAAAATTATTATTATTATTATTTTTGAACAAGGGGGTAATTAGGCCTATTTACTTATTTTAATGGAGGTACTGGGGATTGAACTGGTAACCTTGTGCAACCTAAGCACATGCTCTACCACTGAGCTATACCCTCCCTGCTTTCTTATGTAGTTTTCAACAGCCATTATATCTTCTTCTGTGGTGTTCTGGAAAGTGGAGAAATAAGGTGAAATAAAGAGACCCAAGCTCTGTGCTCAGGGAACGCTGATGTGGCCACCTGGTCACCACGGCTCTGCTGTGTTAGGTCCTATGGGGCCCCGGGCACAGGCCTCACCCGCAGTTCACTCCACGCCCCTGGATCTGGGCTTCCTGACCCAGACTTAAGTATGAATTTTGTATGAATGAATATATATGACATCATGTCTCCTGGCCGCTCATGAACCAGAGGGCCTGGATCAGGGTGACTCGGCTTTACTCACACATGGGGCCTCTGGTGAACAGTCCCCAGGAAATCTGGCCTTCAGGGTATTGGGCTCCCCTCCTCCTGGAGTGAGTACCCCCGGGGGATGGGCGGGGCCAGAGCAGACAGACAGACACCCCGGCTCCCTGACTGCATTTCACTCACTCTGCTCTGTGTTCTCCTTAACTGGAGCGGCTTCCCTAAAATGCCAATCTGAGTGTCCCGGCCTTGTTTTCACTCCTCCAGTGACTCCCGTGCCTGCAGCGTAGGCTCCTCTCTTCCACCCTCACCCCAGAGCTCCAGCCCCACCACACCCCGGCGGTGGGGGCCACCTGCCTTCCACCCTGGGCACCTGTGCTCCTGCCTGGCCGGCTCCTCCCACTGGCCACACTTAACCCCTCACCTCGGTGCTCCCCAGGGAGGGCTGGGCCCCCCTCTGTGCCTCCCACCGGGCCCAGGAACCTCCAAGCAACCTGCAGGCCACCTGCCTCCCCCATATCTGTGGGCTCCTGGTGTGGGCCCAGCCCTGGGGCATCCCCTGAGCTCCACCAAGAACCATGGTAACACTGGGCACAACTCCACACACACCTCCGTGCCCCAAGGGTGCAGGTCCGGGCTGTAGGAATTCCTCCAAGTTCCCATCCACTCCCACCTGCCTGATGGCTGCATCTGTCCACATCTTCAAGAGACACATGTTCATATCACTCCAGTGCTGTGTACTGATCTTGCCTTGATCCTAAGGCAAATAAACCAACTGCAGACAAATCTCTATGAGACAATGGGGAAATTTTGGATGCAAATATTTAATGAAATTAAGGAACTATAATTATAAATTATATCAATGAAAAATTTTAGTGTGATACGAGAACAGTGTGACCATATTTAGAAAATGAGTCCTTAGGAGAGTAACATCCTAAATGTTTGATAAATGAAGGGACATGCCACATAGGATGGCTTCCCAATTATCCTACGGAGTGGGACAGTGAGCGGGATTGTGTATTGGATTCTGTGGTTGTTGTATCAGTTTACTACAGCTGGGGGCTTAAGACAACAGAGTGAGTTCTCTCATACTTGTGGACTCAGAAGTGCAAAGTCAAGATGCAGGCTAGGCTGTAATTCCTCCAGAGGCTCTAAGGGGCGTCCTTCCTGCCTCGTCCAGCTTCTGGTGGCTGTAGCGTCCTTGCTTTCCATGGCTTCTGACCACAGCACGTCTACCTTGGCCTCCATCCTCACATCACTGCAGGCTGTGTGTCTGTGAGTCTGTGTGTGTGTCAGTGTGTGTGTGTCTTCTCTTCTGTTATAAACCCACACTTGTCTTTGGACTTAGGGCCTATCGGATTTTTATATTAATCCATGTACTTTGTCAGAAATTTTCCATCTAATAACTTTTTTATTGAAATATAGTTGATTTACGTTGTTGTGTTATTTTTCAGGTGTGCAGCAAAGTGATTCAGTTTTATGTGTATATACATATGTGTGTATATTCTTTTTCAGATTCTTTTTCATGATAGATTATTATAAGATATGGCATATAGTTCCCTGTGCTCTACAGTAGGTCCTTGTGGTTTATCTAGTTTATATAGAGTAGTGTGTATCTGTTAATCCCAGACTCCTAATTTATCTCTTCCCCCACCATTTTCCCATTTGATAAGCATAAGTTTGTTTTCTATGTCTGTGAGTCTATTTCTGTTTTGTAAGTAAGTTCATTTGTATCATTTTTTAGATTCCACTTATAAGTGATATTATGATATTTGTCTTTCTCTGACTTTAAATAGTATGATAATCTCTAGGTCTATCTATGTAGCTGGAAATGGCATTATTTCATTCTTTTTTATGTCTGAATAGTATTCCATTGTGTGTGTGTGTGTGTGTGTGTGTATACATATACCACATATACAACATCTTTATCCAGTCATCTGTCAATGGACATTTAGGTTGCTTCCATGGCTTGGCTGTTGTAAATAGTGCTGCTGTGAATATTGGAGTAGATGGATCTTTTCAAATTAGAGTTTTCATCATTTCCGGGGTATGCCAGGAGTGGGATTGCTGGATCATATGGTGACTCTATTTTTAGTTTTTGAAGGAATCTCTATAATTTTCCTCATGGTGGCTACATTAATTTACATTTCCTCCAACAGAAGAGGAGGGGTCCCTTTTCTCCACACCCTCTCCAGTATTTATTACTTGTAGACTTTTTGATGATGATCATTCTGGCTGGTGTGAGGTGATACCTCCTTGTACTTTTGATTTGATTTCTCCGTAATTAGTGATGTTGAGCATGTTTTCATGTGCCTGTTGGCCATCTGTGTGTCTTTTTCAGAGAAATGCCTACTGAGGTCTTCTGCCCATTATTTGACTAGGTTGTTTAGCTTTTTGTTGTTGAATTGTATGAGCCATTTGTATGTTCTAGAAATTGAGCCTTTTTCAGCCTCATCATTTGCAAAAATTTTCTCCCTATCTGTAGGTTGTCTTTTCATTTTGTTTATGGTTTCCTTTGCTGTACAAAAATTGGTAAGTTTGATTAGGTCCCATGTGTTATTTTTCCACTTAATAACTTTTTAAAAACTATATTATCTTTGAGCTCCTAGGGTGTGCCAGGTGCTGAGCTAGACTGTGGGGACCTGAAGAAGACAAGACGGAGGCCCAGCTTCCAGGAACTCACAGGCTGGGGGGAGTAATATTAAACATAAAATGTCAAAATAATGTGAGAAAAAACATAATAGAGAAAATACAGTAGTAATTAATAGTAGAGTATTCCAAATAGAACAAATAGCATGTGCAAAGGCCCAGAGGCTAGGAAGGCTGATATGAGTGTGAGAGAGAGGAAAAAGTATAAAAAGTCAGGTTGCTAAAATACAGGATAGGTTAAATGTGAATTTTAGGTAAACAATAAATGCATATGTTTCATACATATAAGGACATATTTATACAAATAACAAAAACTTATTTGTTATGTGTCCAAAATTCACATTTAACTGGGTGTCCTGTCTTTGATCTGCAACCCAATACAGAAAGTATTCCAGAGATCCAAGTGCCCTTTAACAACACCAGCTCCCTTTTGTCTCCACAGGGGAGGTTTTTCATCTGCCTTCGTCCTTGAATCTAGTTCTTGATAATCTAACAGTAAGTTTTTCCAAAAGCCTGACTATTCATACTTCACTGACTGGCAGAGAGGCCAATGAACTTGAACTTTTGTGTTTAATCTTTAACTACAAACCTTGAAAAGAACATATTAACCAGGTATATCATGATATGAGAATGACTCATCATTTTTTTTTTCAATCTAACATGGAGCCCCTGGCCCTGAACACTGTGGGAGGGGCTTCTCCTTATCCGGACTGTCCGCTCTTCGGAGAGGAGGAGCTATTCCACTGGAACACCAGCTTATTATAAACACGGGCAGAGTTGGCACTGAGTTACTGAGCCGAGTGGGAGACAGACTTCATAAGGTAAGTACTGATTTTAACATCTGTGCCGTGTCCTTAGCACAAAACAAACTCTGCTTTATACTCACATTATGTCTTCTTGATGTGCTTAGTGCACAGTTTAAGAGTTGTTTATTTAATTGCTGTTGGAGACATGTTTACAGAAATGTAATCAGGCGTGAGAATTTAGAGCTCAGAAAATTTAATGATAGGAGGAGAAAAAAGAATGGTAGCGTTTTGGTGGTCTGAGAAAATGACCAAGAAAGGAGAGTGTAAGTGTTTACACTGAAGTTATTTCCTCTGAAGATGTCGTCAATACACAGCAGGTGCAAATTATGCTTCTGTAATACTCAGTGGGCTGTGGAAATTCAAAATTAAGATTTATTGCAATAGGAGTAAGTTGAATGTCAGCAGAAATTCTGTCCTTGCTGTGAGGGACAAGCTGGAAGTGCCCTTCTGTCGCTGGGGTTCAACCAGTTCCTGGTAAACCCAGAAATTGGCCGGAGCAGGGTTTATCAGCTTGGGTCCTCTTGACATTTGGGGCTGGGAAATTCTTTGCTGTGGGGAGTGATCCTCCACTGTCTAAAAATACTTAGTATAGAAATGTACATTGATTAGGTTTAAGGAGTGTACTTGATGATAGCATTAACCTATTTCCTTAAATATGCAACCTTGACTCCTCTCAGATATCAGCAAGAATGGTTTGTTTACAAGTTTTACAAGAAATGACTTTATTAAAACTTTTGATGCGGTAAAGGTTAATAGCCTGACTTTTTCTTTTCGTT